TGGCTGGTGTGACTTGGTTGGAGCATCGTACTGCAAATGGAAAGGCTGCTGGTTTGGTTCCTGGTCAGGGCACATACCTAGGTTGTGCATTTGGTCCCCAGTTGGGGCACATGAGAGGCAATTGATCAATGTTTCTCTCTCACATTGATGCTTCTCTCCCTCTCTCTATCTCCTTCCCTTCCCCTATCTCTAAAATCAGTAAGCATGTCTTCAGGTGAGGATTAAAAAGTTATGATCATATCAATAGATGCAGAAAAAGCATTTGATAAAATCCAGCACTCATTTATGATAAAAAAAACAACAACAAAACTCTCAGCAAAGTGGGAATAGAGAGAACAAAGCTTAACGTAATAAATGCCATTATGAGAAATCTTCAGCCAACATCATACAAATGGGCGAAAACTAAGAGTTTCCCTTAAGCTTAGGAACAGGCCAGGATGTCCACTTTCACCACTCTTATTCAACACAGTACCAGAAGTCCTAGCCATAGCAATCAGATGAGAAGAAGAAATAAAAGGCAGCCAAATTGAAAAGAAAGAAGTAAAACTGTCATTATTTGCAGATGACATGATACAGTATATACAGAATCCTAAAGATTCCACCAAAAAACTACTAGAACTAATCATGGAATTCAATAAAGTAGCAGGATACAAAATAAATACCTAGAAATCAGTTGTATTTATGTACACCAATAATAACTACCAGAAAGGGAAGCTAAGAAAACAATCCCATTTATAATTGCATCAAAAAATATCTAGGAATAAATTTAACCAAGAATGTAAAAGACTTGTTCTCAGAAAATTATAAGACATTGAAGAAAGAACTTGAAGAAGATACAAATAAGTGGGAGCATATACCATGTTCATGGATAGGAAGAATTTACATCATTAAAATGTCCATACTACCCAAAGCAATCTATAGATTCAATGCAATTTTTATCAAGATACCAATGACGTATTTCACATAACTAGAACAAATAATCCAAAAATTTATATGGAACCAAAAAAGATTCTGAATAGCCACAGCAATCTTGAGAAGGAAAAACAAAATTGGAGGAATCATGCTACCTGGTATCAAACTATACTACAGGGTCATAGTAATCAAAACAGAATGATCCCAGCATAAAAACAGACATACAGATCAATAGAACAGAATAGAGAGCCCAGAAATAAACCCATGCCTATATGGTCAATATTTGACACAGGAGGCAAAAGCATACAATGGGGTAAAGATAGTCTATTTAATTAATAGTGTTGGGAAAATTAAACTGATATGGGTGAAAAAAATGAAATTAGGCCATCTCCTTACACAAGAAAAACTTAAATGGATTAAAGACAAATGTTATACTCAAAACCATAAAAATCCTAGAAAAAAACAGGCAGTAAAATTGTGGACATTTCTCACCGCAATATTTTTTCTGATATATCTCCTCAGGTGAGGGAAACAGAAGAAAAAACAATGGGACCATCAATAAAATGAAAAGACAATTGTGGACATTTCTCATTGCAATATTTTTTCTGATATATCTCCTCAGCTAAGAGAAACAAAAGAAAAAACAATGGGACCATCAATAAAATGAAAAGATAATGGAAGAACATATTCACCAAAGATACACCTGATAAGAGCTTAATATCCAGAATTTATAAAGAACTTACAAAACCCAACACCAAAAAAAGCAAACAATCTGATTTAAAAAAATGGGCCAGGGACCTGAATAGATACTTCTCCAAAGAGGACATACAGATGGTCAATAGATGTATGAAAAGATTATCAATGTCACTAATTATCAGAAAAATGCAAATTACAACCACAGTGAGATACCACCTCACACTTGTCAGAATGGCTATCAACAAACAACAAGTGCTGGCCAGGATGTAGAGAAAAGAAAACGCTTGTGCACTGTTGGTGGGAATGCAGACTGGTGCAGCCACTGTGGAAAGCATATGGAGTTACTTCAAAAAATTAAAAATGGAACTGCTTTATGACCCAGCAATTCCACTTCTAGGAATATACCAGAGAAACACAAAACACTAATTCAAAAAAATATATGCACCCCCATGTTCATTGCAGCATTATTCATAATCTCCAAGATACGGAAGCAGCGCAGGTGTCCGTCAGTAAATGAGTGGATCAAAAAGCTGTGGCACATTTATAAAATGGAATGCTACTCAGCTCTAAAATGTATGCAATCTTACCCTTTGTGACAGCATGGATGGACCTGGAGAACATAATGCAAGGTGAAATAAGCCAGTCAGAGAAAGAGAGGTACCATCTGAGTTCACTCACATGTTGAATCTAATGAACAAAATAAACTGACAAAAAAAATAGAAATAGGCTCATAGATAGAGAACAGACTGACAGCAGGGAGGAGGGTTGCGGGGCTGGGTGAATATAGTGAAGGGAGGGAAAGAAGGGAGGGAGGGAGGGAGGGGGCAAAAAGGAAAGATAGAAGGAAGGAGGGAGGGAGGAAGAGAACTCATAGACACAGACAGCAGTGTGGTGACTGACTACCAGAGAGAAAGGCGGGTGGGAGGGGTAGAAGAGGGTATGGAGGGATAAATGGTGATGGAAGGAGACTGGACTAGGCGTGGTGAACACACAGTACGATATACAGATGATGTATTACAGAGTTGTAAACCTGGAACCTATATAATCTTATTATCCAATGTTACTCCAAAAAATTCAATTAAAAAGAAAAAGAATTCCCAACAGGGAGCAGACAGAGGCAAAGGGAGAGAGATGAAGGACCACAGAAGAGGTGCGGAACTGGAGGAGAGGAGCCAAAGACAGGGAGACAGACAGGGGAAGGAGTGTAAGTGACAGCGGATGCCAGATGTGGCAGATGGAAAGGAAGGGGCTGCCAAGATAAGGGCCCAGTACAAACAAACAAACAATTAAGGGCAATAAACTGAGGAGCCTGCCAAAGTGGGGTCAAGACTGTGACTGAAATGGGGCCCAGATTAGGATGATGCCTAGTCACCTCCACATCTGTCACAATGCCCCAGAGACAGCTCAGAACAGCTCAGAGACAGGAAACAGCCCTCCATGAATTTGACCTCTGGCTAGGAGGCAATATGGGAATATTCGTCTAAATATGCACATGCACGCACCCATGTAAAACGCAGGGAGAATTGCTGCAAAGAAGCATACATGGTGGTCCCTGTCCTCCGAAACCTGCAGCGCCTGAGATGAGGTAGAATACGCTATACCTCAGGAAAATTATAAATGCTCTACTGCAGTTCGGAGCAGAGGCTACTACTATGGGGGATGGGAAAGATTTGAAAGAGTGGATGGTATTACACTGGGATCTTGAAAAATGGATACAACTTTGGCATTCAGAAGATAAAGTGAAGATCTTAACGTTTTTCATCACTCTCTCTCCAGGTGCTGTTAAACACCCAAAGGCTGCCCAAGGGACTGCTAAACAGAAAGGAAGTCCAGGAGATTGAGGCAGCCCCACAGAAGCCCTAAGAGTGGACAGTTGCCTAGGAGAGTTCTAGTCTCTCTGCCCCAGTTGATACCATAACACGCATAGTTCAGAGCATCGACCACTATCTCTCACACCATCACAGATCGATCTCACCTACCATATACCCGTATGTGGCCAAAAAAAAAAACTGGCCTCAGGATAGGTGACAGATAATGAAGGCAATGGGCAAGTGCCCAATTCTAATTTCTACTTCATGCCACACTATTGGTGATGCTACATTGACACAAGTGTACCATGCTCTACCAAGCCAGTGTCACAAGATCCATGTGAAACACATTTCCAATCCCATTTGTTTGCTATATACTCCTATGAAACCTGACTTATTTTTAAATTGATATACAAACACATTTTTAGACATATATTCATATTCCATTACCAAATCACCAATGAACCAACATTAAATGTCTGGATTTATTTCTCCTCAAGAAAACTCTGCTCTCATTTTTTTAATTAGTTTGTCTCTGCTCTCACCGAAGTACATGGCCTGGGCCCCCAATCCAGCTGATTTGGCACAGACCTGAATGTGAACAACACCCCCAAAAAGCAGTCTGAGAGAGGTCTGTGGTCCCCTGACCCTTTGTCAGGAGAGTGTCCCACCACTCAGCACTCAGACCTCAGACCGCCCTACAGGGAGACCTGAACGCAGGTCCACACGCCCCACCCCCACTGGCTATACTGAGCGAGTCTCCCACTGTCCTTGGGCAGAGGCCTCGCAGGGCAGCAAAGGAAAGAGGAGTCCGCAGCATGTGCCCAGAGGCGGGGTCTTCATGAACAAGGAGCAGGCAGAGCAGGAATGTGCTCCCCAGGACACCATGAAGGGAACCTAACGCTGGCGCCTAGGTATGCTCGGCACATGCAGTGAAGTAAGCTCACCTCAAAAGCTCCAGTTTAGTTTCTGTGGAAAATGAGGCTCAGAGGTCATCATACCTTACAGGTGATCAGTGAGACTGTCTACTTGAGCCTTCAAAGAATGGTTTGTCCTTCACACTTCCGCTTATGTTTATAACTCCTAACACACAAGTGTGTTTGTCATTACACCTAAATGAGCACTTGGAATGGGTTTCTGGACTGTGAAACAGCAGCTCTTAGATCAGCCCTGCTTCAGCCTGAGCCTTTAAGAAATCATAAACCCTCGGCTAATTCTAACCGCCTAAACTTCCAATCATTGTATCTGTTCAAATTACAAAGGATGGGTAGTCAAGACATGAAATCCACTCCTTATGTTTGAAACTCTGATCATAAGCCTGCAACTAAGCTGTATAGGGGACAGATGACCTGCAGAGAAATTAATAAGGTTAAAAAAATGACAAGTGCATGTGTCTGTTGGGAAATGGACCCTTTTGAAAGGGATTAGTTCAATAATGTGGGCATCTAGGTCAACAGTTGTAGGTAAAAATCTCCCTAAGCAGGCCCACCTCTTCCATGGCCGGGTCTCGGCTCAGAGCTCAGCCCAGGGACAGCCCAGTTCTTCTGCGGTGTGTGGGGAGAGGTGGGGGTGGGGCCAGCTCACCCTTCGACCCGCTTCATTGTTCTGCAGGTTCATGAGCACCCGGCCCTGCTCCTCCGATCCCTTGGCAAAGTTCTTCTCCCGCTCCCGAGCGTCCACAAACTCCTTAGCAAACCGGTAGCCGTACTCCACGTTGTCCCCACAGCCGCCCCACAGCCAGTCACGGGGCAGGTCCTTGGGCCGGGCTGTCCTGCTGCAGCCACATGTGGAGAGCTCACCCTCTCGGCAGGCCCGGCTGATGGCATTCACCACCCCGGCGGCACTCACGGCATAGGTGAAGGCCGTCTCGCGGCTCCCTGCAAGACAAGGCAAGACTAGTGGTGAAGGTCTCCTCTCAAGTGGAGGCCTTCCTTCCCTCTGCTTCCTCCAGACGCATGCTGCCGTAGCCTCAGCCATAACACTCGCAGGAGGGGAACGAGGGTCAGGAGGAGCACCTTTCACTTCCCATGGCTCCAGTGATTCGAAACTTCTTTTGATGACGAGCTGAAATTTGCCTCCTCTGCCCTAAAGACGTACCAAATACAGGGACTCCCTCCAGCCCTGGCTTAGACTAACATCCATTCCAGAGACATTTACATGACTGCTCGATTCCTAGGAGGCAGACCTAAAGGCAGGGGAGAGTGGACACTAAGGAATCTAGAAAACACGTGAAACCAACAAAATGAGACTGACTAGAAATGTGGGACCAAGAACAGGACGCTATCTTCTCAAACATCTCTCCCTCACAGATGTCAATTTTGCACCACTCCATGAACCCCACATCTGTATTTTTATTCCTGCCATTATCTAGCTAGATAGTGGCAGAGACCAGGAGTAGGAAGTGAACTACAGTTACAACATTCGGAATCAACCAGGCTGTCTTCCTGTCTTTCATAGAGTCCACACTGCCTCTCGACTCCACAGCATTGGGAACCGCATCTCTGGGACACTCAGCAGGGTCTCTCCAAATATCTACATCATTTCTAGCATTTCCTCTATTGCTGTGGAGGAGCCACTTCAAAACTCACATGAGGTATGCTCTAGTTCAATAAAAAGGTTTATAAAAAATAATACTAAGCCGCTGGGGAAATGCAAATCAAAATCAAAATGAGACGCCACTTTACATGCATGCGTATGCCTATCATCAAAAAGAAAACTACTAATAAGTTGAGGAGGATACAGAAAAACCAGAACCCTCATGTACTGCTGGTAGGAATGTTCAACGGTGCAGCTGCTTTGGGAACAGTCTGGCAGCTCCTCAAAAGGTCAGACACAGAATTACCACATGACCCTGCAATTCCACTCCTAAAAATATATCCAAGATAAATGAAAACATTTGTCCACACAAAAACTTATATGTGAATATTCCTTGTGGCATTATTTGTAATAGCCAAAAAGTAGAAACAACTCACATTGTCCATCAGCAGCTGACTAGGTAAACAAAAGGCGGCGTTATCAATACAATGGGATATTATTCAACCATAAAAAGTAATAAAGTACATATACATGCTACAACATGGATGAACCTTGAAATTATTATGCTAAGTGCTTCAACTTGGCATTTTGTATCTATATTGAACCTGATAGAAAATGATCCTGTTTACATGAAAAACATGTTCAGAATATGCAAATGCATAAAGACACATCACTGGTTACCTAGGGTTTGTGGAGGAAGGGGAATGAATGGAGAGCGACCGCTAATAGATATGCAATTTCTTTACAGGCTTTTGGAATTAGATAGCAGTGCTAGTTGCAGGATCTTGTGAATATACACCAAACTGTACACGACTAAATAGTGAGTTGTATGGTACATGAATTATATTTCAATAAAGCTGTTATAAGAAACAATAAGTAATACTCCTACGGACTCAGGTATTGAAGGGAGTGGTTCTTGGCAGGAAACTGGGAGTCAGCACTGAGCTCAGAAGAGACGCCCCACAATTCTGTCTCGGCAGGTGGCGAGGGAAGCGGTCCGCAATCATTAATAGGCCTGGAGTGATCTCACACCTTAGCCTACTTTTTGATTACCTATCTAGTCATGACAGAGTAAAGTTTGCAGCCAGGCCACAATGGGAAATCAGTTTTTCTGAGTTAACCAGGGGTCAGCTTCTGGTCCGCTGTGGACTGGGAGCAGCCCAAGAAAAACCCAGATGGTACAGAAGTCGCACTCATAATTCAGCCGTCAGGCTTAACATTTGGGTCAGTGCTGAACCACCGCCAGAGACCAGGGTGTCTATCTGGTCTAGGCGAGGCAGACGATGAGTGTGAGCTCCCAAGACAGTCAGCTGGTTAAGAGGCTCTTGGGGAGGAGGGAGTCTTGCCTGAGAAATCTTCCTGAAATGGGGCCTCGGCCCCCTGACCTGGCATCCTGGGGCAGGAAGGCCTCTCTGAAGCCACAGCCAAGAGCCACATTCCATCCACTGCGAGCACTCCTTTTACAACATTCCTCGGGGAGGTGGGTTGGGTTCTCAAGGCAACCCATTCCATCTTTTTTTAATGACTCTAATCACCAGAACATTCTCGTATTAAGCTGAAATAGGCCTCCCTATAACTTCTGCCTGCTGGAAATACACTATCTAATCCCTTTTCCATATGATAGCCTTTCAGTATTTGAAAACAACTAATATGCCTTTCATGTGTTCTTTTTCCAAGCTACATATGTCTGATTTCTTCTTCCTTTCTTTAGCAAACATGTTTTTCAGAACGGAATCACCCCTCTCAGAACTGCCTTTTAAAATAGCGCACTTACAGCTGAGTATATCGCAGACATTATGTGCTGTGATGGTCCTTGCCTATCAGCTTGGTTTGGGATCCGTCCCCGAGTGAATTAGCTGCCTCTTGCGGTCCTCCTGCCTCTCTGGGCCAGACACTCCATTAGGTCCTGAGTGCAGGGGGCTCTGCCTTCACGGGCTGCATTTGGGCACGTACGGGCTGCCAGTGCTACTCTCGGCCGGCAGGAGATAACCTGGGGCCTCAGAATGGACCGGCAATGCGCAGCGGGGGGAAGAGTCTCCATATGTGAAACAATTCAAAGTGGAAACTCAAACCACCTCAAGGAAAAAGGCTAGTAAACCAGCAGCGACTGGAGCTACTAGAGAGACCTTACTCTAGTAGGACAACAGGAAACAGCAGGGCAGTATCATGCCCTCCCCGTCCCAGCTACCAGGAGGGTGCCTCCATGCTCCTCTGGGTGGAGACTGGGGGAAGTACCAGTGGCTCCCTCTGAGCTGCTCAGCTGCTCTTTGGTGGTGGACCTTTGTAGCCACTTCCAAGAAGGAAGGAATCTTTTGGAAGTCGCACGGAAGATAGCAGTGAGAGGACTCACCGGGAGCTATCTGGGCTCAGGGGGAGGAATGGAGGACAGCTTCCCAGGTAGCATAAGCCTGCAGGGAAGCTACAAAAAGGAACAGTGAAAATGAGACAAAAAGGAGGGCTCCGTTTGTAACAGAATAGGGTACAGAATAGAGTCTGCTTTCGCAAGTCCTTCTACCATGCAAAGCTGTACCCAGCGGAGTTTCTATTCCTGACAACGCTTTTCTTTCTAAAGTAAAGCCGCATTCACTGGCCTTCACTCAAACAAAATAACACATGGAAAGGATCTAGCCAACATCGGCCATACATTAGGTTACTCCCTTAAAGTGACTAGGGGGTGCCTCTCTCTACACCTGGGCCATCCGTGTGTCCTCACTGGAAACCAGGGGCAGAGGGTGCTGCTGACCTAGACTTTTACCAGGAAGAAGGGACAGATACTAGGTATATTTGAGAAGAATTGATAAGTTATCATCAAATCCCATTTAACCCTCAAGTCTATTTGTCTGGGAAAGTTGCCCAGTAAGACTGTCATGGGAACACATGAGCATTCCTTTTTTAGATCTTGATTGACACTGAAGGAAGAAAGAATGAGATTCGAAGTGTGCTTTCCCCTGATCCTTACTTCGCAATACAGGGCAGGCGAGCCAGGGGAAAGAGGTCAGGAGAGGGAGGGAACCTTCCAAGTACCCACGATAGAGGGGAACGGGATCTCAAGTCTTAACTCCCCTGCTGCTAAAATCATCCTTGGGGAAAATCGCTGCCTTGGGTAACTCCAGAACGTCTTTTGAGGGGAAGCCGTTGTGAGGGAATGTGTGACAGGGACTTCAGGGCTCTGACACCTTCCTTTTATGGCCCTGGGGATAAGACCCAGTAGAATAGGGCCGGATTTCTCAATTTCTTGCCAGAAAGAAGAGAATTACATTTCAAAAGGACCTAAAACAATTAGACCCCAGATCACACCTCCATCTAAGCAGCAGAGCAGCCAAAGAATCCTAGACCAGGAGTGGGACAGGGGATAGAACAGGAATCTGGGAAGAGGTGGCCCTCTCTCTTTCGTCCTCAGTCTGGCCCCTTCCCCCACTTTCACACACACCCCCTTTCAAATGAAAAAGCCAGGCCTTGGTCTGGGTTAGGTTAATGACAACTATCACCAATTTGGCCCAAAGTTCCTCTCTCTCTCAGGGTCCAAGTGGAAGAGGCAAAAAGCCTGCAGACACCCAGGCAAGGCTCTCCAAGGAGGACCTGGTGCTGAGCGAAACAAAGGGCCCCGGGCGGTGGGCGGGTTTCCTCCTTCACTAACTCCGCTCAGAGGGTCCAGGCCCTTCCCAGGGTGAGTCGCTCAGGCTGCCCCAGACAGGGTTAGGCAGGAAGCAGAGGGCTAGCTGAGCCCTGCGCTGTGCGGCTCACACGTCAGCTGAGGCTCTGCTGCCTGTGCACCTCCCTTCCCTCCTTGAAGGCCAATTCCAAGCCCTGAGAGAACCCACCTGGACACTCAGGTGGGCTCTCTCTGCCCCCGTCCAGAGAGAACATGCTTGCACCCAGGCCAGGTGAGCACAGCTCCTTCAGCCAAGCCATGCCTGGTGGCCGCTTACCTATCTGCATGACCCTCCCAAAGACAGACGTGTCGTCCACCGTGCTGCAGTTCCATCGCCTCTGCCGGAACTGGTACTGGCACTCCTTGATGCCCATCTTGGCTCCCTCCCCTATGTAGACCATGTGCTCCTGGTACAACTGGCACAGCTTTCTCTGGCCAGGGGAGAGCCCGGGAAGCTGGCTGCACAGAGGCTGGGCACCGATGATGAACATCTCAGGTCTCTGCACCGGGTTCATAGCTAATGACCTACAGCAGCGATTCAGAAAAGGGAAAGGAGTGAGCGCATGCCTGTGTGCAGCAGCAAGTCATTCATTTAACACATTTACTGAGTGCTTTCTGTGAATAAGGCCCTGCACTAAGGGCTTGGAAAAGGAAATTGGGGAAACTGAGGCACCGACATAGGTGACATGGGAGATGTCAGCTGCCTGAGACAGACTTGAGCTTCAAGATCCAGAGCGATCAGAGAGGGACAGCTCTTACAGCTGGGGAGAAGCTGGTCCTTAAACGGTGCGGGGCAGGAGGAGGACACGCCAGACAGGGCGGGCTGTGCACTTGGGCAGAGGGTGGAAGGGACCGAGCCTCAACAGGAGAGCACGTGGCTTAATCACGGAGTGGGAGTGACTCGTTCCCTTTGGCCCAAGTGCAGAATATGTGATGGAAAGCAATAAATTCCCTTCAATAGAACTTCCCCTTATGCCTCTAAAGTCAAATCCAGTTTACATACATCGTACTATATTCTAAATGTTTTCTCTTCCGTATCTGACCCACAACCCCCCTAACCCACCCTTCAACAGTTCAAGGGCGCTCTCCCTTTTGCTCATCATCCACCAGATAGAATAAAGTGTTAAGTTAGATGAGAAAGCTGTATGTTTGCCATCTGAGTAAAAATGTGATCAGGGCACAGAGCAGGTGGTGAGTGCCTACCATTTCCATGTTGACTTGGCAATGACAATAGTCTCAGAAACAAAAAGAACCACACACGGTCCTGCAAATCCCTCATCTGGTCTTCAGACTTATAAAGTGGGAACGCTACTCTCCTTAGCCCCATCAGCAAAAACAAAAACAAAACAAAACAAAACAAAAAACAATAGTCTTACCCATCTAATAGCAACAAAAGAGATATTTCTAACCACCCACGGGGATGGAGGAAGAGCCAGGACAAGGGGAATGCAGACAGCATCAGAGAAAAAGACAAATGAACTGATCCTTTATCCTGTGGAACGTTTACCGCTAGGGGCATGAGAGAGGAAACGGACCGTCCTAGTTTTCCTGGGATAACAGAGGTACTTAGGATTCCTATGAATAAAGGAATGATCACGTCCCACGGTGACCTTATCCACATTTCAATTACCAAAGGAGGCGTAGGTTGTAGAGTAGGACTTCAGCCCCTCTCACTCACCACCAGGAGCTGGCTTCGGCAGGAAGCTGAGCCCAGCTGGAGAGCAGCGCAGCGGCGAGCAGCAGCAGGCCGGGCATGGTCGGCCTCAGCCCTCCCCAGTGCCCTGGGAAGGCCCCAGGGACAGCCGGCTTCCAAAGCTGGGCTCCCTGAGAAAACAGAAATGGAGGGAGAATCAATGTGGAAATGCAACAGACCGGGGAGGTCCAGGAGAAAAGGGAGCGAGCTCTGGGATGGATAACATCACTTTCTGCTCTTGCAAGGAAACTCAGCCTCTTTCCAGCCTCCATCTCCTCATGCTCATCCTCTCCCCACAGAATGCCTCGATGTCTCTGACCCCAAACTGAAGCCCCTACTCGGGGCCTGATTCCAAAGGAAACAATGAGCTGAGAAACTAGAGGAGAGAAATGAAATCGTTTCAAGAACAGAGCATGCTCTATGCAGAATTTAGGAAGAGCTTTGGCTCTTGCAACGCACACCCGCCCTTCCTGAAGGGAGAACCATCCCGTCGCCATTCCCTTTACCTCGCACTCCAGCCACAGGTGGATCTCTCTGACCACCAGGCTCTCTTGCGGGGCTAAAAACACAGTTGGTGAGTTGGCTTGATCCACAGGCCAAACACGGGTCTTCCTTCTCAGTCCGTACGCTCTTACTCTAAACAAGTTTTCTAAATCCCAACCTTGTTCACCAGAAATAACAGGGAGAAGGTGAGGACTTTTCTCTTTCTCAAGGCAACTTCTCTGAGAAATGTAGAAGCCCACAGCAAACTGGGGCTCCTAAAGCTCTGGAGGCCGGGCGTGCCTTCCCGGGGGGCGCTCATCCCCTCCCTGGCACCGGGGTACCTCCAGCTCCTCATCTGCAACTCTTGCCTCAAACATCTGTGCTGAGGACTCCTCTTCCAGAACAATCCCTTCCTTCTCTCGTAGCAGGAGAGCCTCCCGCATCTTTGCCTCCAGCTGTTTCTAACTACCGCCTACGTCTACATCCCCAGTGAACACCTTTTCTGGAGCCCTTGAAAACAGAATATCCTGCTGCTGGATCCTGGAGCAAGTCTATAAAAACACGCCCCTCCGGCTCACCCTCACCTCGTCTCTCAGCTTCCATCAAGGGTGTGTGACCCCTCGGCCCCAGTGAGTCTTGTCCCAACAGCCCGTTACAACCTCCAACCTTACACAGGCAAACACACGCGCGCACAACGCCCCACCCCCATCTCACCACGCAGTTCTGGGGCGCCGGGCTCTCAGGCAGGGGGTGGCAGGTGCTTTGAGTCATCAGCCTGGCAGATATTTTTTGCCTTGGGGCCACCAAGAGAGGAAGGTGGCCTGAGCGGGATCCAGGGAAGCTGGGCCACAGCCTGTCCCCACCCCCTTTTGGTTTTTCTCCGAGAGGTCTTAGCTGGGGCGAGGCCATCAACAGGCAGGTGTGTGGGGTCGGCAGAGGGCAGATCAAAGAAGAAACTTGCTCCTTCCCCTTTGTCATGCAGAACCAGCTCGGAAATGATCCGGTCTCTAGCCCAGCGGACTAACAGCTCCCCACACTCTACTTCCCTAACAGACCTCCCCTCCTTTAAAGGATGCCCCCTCCCCCTCTAACCTCTACCCCCCATAAATCCTCCCCGTCCCTCAGGGCAGGAGGTCTGTGAATGCACCGACTGGAACCGAGAGAGATGGAGCAGAGATAGGGCTGGCACCAGAAGCTAATGGCTTTATGGAGGGGAGGGGGCCGGGTCCAAAGTAGGGAAGAGAGAGGAAAAGCTTCAAAGAGTTTCCTTGTCCAAACATCCTCAGCTCCACCTACCAGTCCTTCTTGGGGAAGCAGAGTCAGAGCTGCCTCTACTCCTGGTGGCCCTCCGCCCTCCCACCCGCACGGCCATCCCCCCCACCATGCCGCCTGCCAACGCCCTGCTCCCACCAACACTCATCCTCACACATTTCCATGCCAGGTAGCTGGTGACGCTTCTTATCCCCACTGGTTCCCCCTCACACCGGTGTCTGTCACTTTTGTCACACCCTCTCACCAGGCCTCTGAAATCTCTGGCTCTGCAAGCCCTGGGTGCAACAGAGGCCACGCTGGGGGCCACTGTTTCTGAGCCAAGGACAGGAGTCAGTGCCAGCTAACGGTCACTGTGTCTTTGACGCCACAGCGCCAGGCTTTCCCGCTAGCTGAGGCCGAGCTCCCCCAGAGCTGCTAATCCCGCCCCACTGTGCTTTATAGGCTGAGACAGGATCAATCCCTGCAGCCGTTCCCACCACTCTGTGCTTTCCATCAAACTCTCAGTTCATTAAAAAAGATATTTTTAAAACTTAAAAAAAAAAGACGGTAGCACGAGCAGTGGCTTCTTTCTCTGGCTTCCAGATGTGAGCCACCCCTCTGAGCGGTCCCAGAACCACCGCCCGCATTTACATTCTTTGGTTTCCTCATGCAGGACTTGGGGGAGAAAGGTGAATGCGGGTGATTGGTTTCATTGGTTAGTGTGGGCAGAATGGAAACTCCTCGCCTCAGCCGGACTGGGGAGGAAGGAAACTGTGTGGGTACTGATGGTTTGGTCCTAATGAGTAGGACACATCTGAAGCCCTGTTCGTGTGTCACTGGCGAGTTTTACAGCAGGTCTCAACCACGGCAGACTGTTCTTTGTGTAAGAAGAATGACCTAGTAATCACCCAAAAGGCAGGGAGTGGGATTTCTCTCTGCTGCCTAGGTAATAACTAGAGATTTGCCCCCAAAACTAAATGGCTTCCCTTTCCGATGAGAGCTGTCATTTCAGACACACCAAACACAGTTAAGTATGAGCAAGTCCAGGGTCTCTCGTTCTTGGTAGTGACTGGGAGGTTGCAGGGAGCGGGGGATGCTGCGTTCTCCACCAGGACCCGCCAGAGGGCCAGGAGGGGCTGGCCAGACGCATCTGCTCACTTCCTCGTTCGGTCATCCATTTGTTCAATAAATTCAGTAATCCCATGTGCATCAGGGGCCTCATACATCCCAGTTACTGCTGCTCTAAGTGCCAGGGACACGGCAATGAACAAAGAAACATAAAACTGATCCTTGCACGAGGCAGAGTATAGGGACGCTGACCTCCTACCGAGTTCAAAATTTTTGTGTAACTTGATGACTCATAGCCTGCTGTTAACCAGAGGTGTCACCAAGAACACAGCCAATTAACACACATATTTTATATGTCACATGTATTATATGCTGTATTCTTATGATAAAATAAAGAAAAGAAAATTTTATTAAAATCATAAGGAGGCCTGACCAGTGTGGCTCAGTTGGTCGGATGTCGTCCTGCAAAGCAAGAGGCTTCTGGTTCAATTCCTGGTCAGAGTACATGCCTGGGAGGCGGGCCAGGTCCCCAGTTGGGCGGTGTGCAAGAGGCAACCGATGGATGTTTCTCTCTTACATCGATGTTTCTCTCCCTCTCATTCTCCCCCTCTTCCCTTCTATTTAAATAAATAAATAAAATCTTTTTAAAAATCATGAGAAAATGCATTTACAGTATTTAATGAAAAAAATCTGTGTATAAGTGAACCTGTGCAGTTCAAACCCATACTGTTCAGGGGTCAACTGTACATAATATGTTAGGTCCAGTGAATATTATGAGAAAAAAATCAAGCAGGGACAGAGATCAAGAACAAGAACGAACTAAATGAACTAGCAAGCAAAACAGAAATAGACTCATAGATACAGAGAAGAGACTGATAGCTGTCAGAGGGGAGGGGGAATTGGGAGGCTGTGGAAAAGGTGAAGGGATTAAGCGAAAAACAAACAAACTCATAGACACAGACAACAGTATGGTGATTACAGAGAAAAAAGGAGTAGGAGAGGTAGAAGAGGCAAAAGGGGATAAATGGTGGTGAAAAGAGACTTGACTTTGGGTGGTGAACCCACAAATACAATACACAGATGATGTTCTATAGAACTGTACACCTGAAACCTATAAAATTTTATTAACTAATGTCACCCCCAATATTTCTTCTCCAGTGATCAAGAGTTTCCTAAAAACACAAACTTACTTGTTCTATTTTCCATCTATGTCCCATGTGTCTAGTTTAGTTATACTAGGCAGTAATAAATGGCTCTGGGTTGATAACCAGTGACAATACCTAATATCAGTGAACATTTATTGAGCACCTACCACATGCACTGAACCAAGTGCTTTACATCCACTTCCCTCATTTACTCTTCACCAAAATTCTATGTGGTATATGCTGTTATTATCCTCACTTTAAATATGGGGAAACTAAGGTGTAAAGACGTTAAGTAGCTTCCTCAGACAGCAACTGAATGGTAGACCCTGGCTTGGAATCCAGATCTCTCCGCTCTTCCCCAATACAGGTGACTGCATCACATATTTGGTCATTCCTGCTTGTCCCTGGAACATAACATGCTCTCTGCTTTGCTTTTCCTCTTTTTGCCATTGCCCTAATGCTAGGGCTGTGAATAGTAAGACAGTAAATCAGATAACAACATTCTGATTTATAGGAAGTAGCACAAAAAGTAATGTTTATTTTTAAAAAACCAGGCTGACTGTAAAGTCATTAGTATAAACACAAACACCGTGCACGCACACTGCAGAGCCTTTTTTGGTGGGGGAAAGCCAGACTTCTCCCAACCAACATGATGACAGGCTGCTTAAAGCTGGAGAAATTACAATACAACAGTTTTAGTGAGTTGGTGTTTATGTTTTTCAAAGGTTCCCCGCCTCCACAAGGATGAAGTCAAACCCCATTACCGCATTATACAAGGCCTTTCAAAATCTGACCCTGCCAACCTTTCCATCCTGTTCCGTTTTCACTCTGTGCTCCAGCCCCCCAAACTGCCTGTATTACACTTCCATACTTACGCCCGACACCTGAGTGCCCTGCTGACTTCTGGGAATGGTTTCCCCTCTCTCTGTACAAAACAGGCTCCTTTGTCCTTGAGGACCCACCCTCAAAGACACCTTCCTCGAGCATCCAATCCAAAGCAGACACCGCCCCCATCATCCTCTTCCTGGCTTCTTGCATGTTTTTGTCATAACATTTACTGTAATAGGGCATAATTTGGCATGTTTGTGTTTCTGTTTCTTCCTTCAAAAGCTCCACTAATGGTCTTGTTC